TGACTCACTGTTACCCATTTTTGTTACTAATTAGAATAAGAAAAAAAGAAAAAAGGAAAAGGCTTAATTTAGAGAAGAAGGAAACTGAAACGTACCCACTTTTCTTACCCTACCTATCTTATGCAGGGGGGCCTGCAGCGCCCTAGTGGGGTCCTAGCCGTCCCGAAGACTGAACAATGGGGGGGATTACCTTCGGGTCCCTGTTGTTGGGGGCCACTTGCCGGGGTCCAGCCTTGGCAGGATCCAGGGGGTACCCTCAGGATGAACAGCGTCGGCGAGAGACATGTGAGACCAGCCTTGATAGGGCCAAGTCTGTGTTTTACTTTTTGACAACCGGTTTTATACCCTTTCACAGAACATTTTCAAGGTACAAGATGCTTACTCATGATTACACAGGATTAGTATTACATCATTTTGTTTTTTAGGAAAAGCAGGATGTTTTTTGCTTTCTAATTCTATAGTAATTCTTAGCACATGATCTTCTGGCCTTGGGGCTATTAACATTTTATGCAGGTCAGGTGAATGTAAGCCTATTTTCCGTTTTTATGGTGACCTTAACTGAAAGGTAGCAGTCTCATAGAGAAATAGTACAGAGTAGAATTATATCCTTGTTAATACAAAAATTAATCCTTCTGCAGAAGTTGTCAGTTGCGTTTGTCTAAGAAGTTTACCCCACACTGACTCTGCGACTTTGGTGAGGCAGCTTCTGCCTAGCACTCCTGGCTGACAATTAACAACCATCTCATTGTTACCACACTAGGGCTAAGTCCTTATTTCTCTAGATCTTAAACTATATTAACAATGGTTTCTATAACACAACCTTAGCACATTAAAAGCGAAAACACAGCAAGCAAATCTCAACCCAATAACCACCTATAGAATAATTTTTCTTATGTTTTCTAATAGGACTCCCTCACCCCTTAAAAAGGCTCTATGTCTATTAGGGCTTTTATATAATCAAGTTCTTTATGCTATATTATGATGAGGGTATTATAAGCAATCATGCATATTAGTACCAAGGGCATAAATGCATTTGCCAAACAAACTAAAATACCAGCAAAGGAGTTTAAGTTAAAACACTCCTTTCACCCTGGATAATCTCATAAAATACCACCCCCGGGAAACTTATTGATTAAAGTTCTAAACTGATTCTTATTTGGGAAGAGATCGGGGAAGGCCTTCTGCCTGTGTCACAGAAATTAGGGAGTAGTCCATTGAGGCAGGCATCAGAAAGACAGATACCATCTTCAAGGTGAGCGCCGGGCGCAGCGTTTCGGAGCCCCTGAGAACCTGACCCACCTTGCCCGTCAGGCTTTCTCCCTCGTGGCCTGTCACGGGTGGGGTCTCGTGAGTAGGCTCCCAGCAGCCTCAATCTTACGGGGCACCCAGTGCTCCTATCGGGCTCTCCCAGGGGAAGTGGGTGCGGGTGGGCCAAGGGCACATGGTCAGACTTGCAGGCAGCTGCCCATCAGCCAGGCAGAAGTACGTCCTCCTGGGTAGAAACGATTCGAACAACAGAGCCCAGCTGAGCTCCACCCGCCTCTGTCCCGAGCGAGGCGTGGACGCCGCCCAAGCCGCCTCTGTGCTTAGGCAGTCACACTGACACGCCTGTGGTCCGACTCCTTTGTCTGCCGACTCTCGCCTGTTTTTCTGTAACGGGGTCGTGGCAGACATACTGTGCAACTTGGTTGTTGTTTCCGCCGCAGGTCTTAGTGTTCCAGGGAGTCGTCAGTTCCTGCTTTTTTTGTTCTGTTTTGTAAAATCTGTGCCTGGCTGTGCTGGGTCTCGGTTGCGTCATCGGGAGCGCAGTCTTGGCGCTGGACCACGATGACATCTCCTTGGGTTTTTCCTGCTACACAGCAGTCTCTGGGCTCTTCCTGCGTCTGCTCTCCTGGGCCATCCTAACCCTCCCGGGCAAAGTCAAGGACAAGTTGGCTGTGCCGGCGACCGTGCGGGCCAGGGCTGTGCGGTGCCGGAGGCGGCTCCTGCCGCTGCGCCCACTGCAGCCCCGCGAGACGAGCTTCGGTTAAGAGGGAGAGAATGTGTTTCCTTGGGTTCAGCCAGGAAGACAGACTTTGCTTCTGTTCATCATCCTCACGACTCTTGTGGGGAATATGTTTAGAATTGGAATGACCTGCTGATTTAAATAACTGTCAAATGGGAAATGATCACGGTCTTTCCTAAGGGCAGTGACACGGAGGCGCTTGCTTCCTCTCCACTCCTCCAGTTGTCCGAGCGCCTAGAGGTCCCGTGTGACCTCGCTCTGTCCTTCCTCAGGGCCAGCGTGAGTGCAGTTCCAGTTCACTGAGCCGGAAGCGCAACAAAGGTCGTCGGCGCTGTTTTAAGCAATCTAATGGAAGACATGTATTGTGAAGATTTTCATTTGTCTGAAGTTTTTTCTTGTCACATGCACTTTTGTTGTCGTATCTGAAAAACCAGTAAGTTTACTTCTGTGTTTTCTCCGAATGGTCCTAGTTTTAGCTTTTCCTTTTAAAAAAAAGTAATTAGGCTGCGTCAGGTGTTACTTGCGTCATGTGGGAACCATGTTGATTGCAGCGTCTGGCTTGTGCGATCTGAGTTCCCCAACCAGGGATCGAACCCACATCCCCAGCATTGCAAGGCATTCTTAAAACCACTGGGCCACCAGGGAGGTCCCTTTAGCTGATTTCTTCTACATCAGTCTGTGATCTGAGCCTTGGTCAGGTCCCTTCAATTGTTCAACATTAGATTGAAGGACCCTGTCCTAGTCCTTTTCTGGTCATGGAAAAACTAATTTATCCAATAGTTCATATTTTGATTCTGGGATGTGTAGATAATAGGTATAGTAAGTTGTCAAACAAATGTATTTATCGGGCAGCTCTTGTATACTTGCTCAGCTCTGGAGAGAAAAGACTACAATACTCATCCACAGAGAACAAACGTCCTCATTGGACGGATGGTCAGTCATGAGTATTTATTTATTTATTCAGCATCTCCAAGTGCCCAGCACCACACAGATGACAAGTACCTCTTTGCTTTTCTCTGTGGACAGTGGTGAGTCCAGAGGGGGGCCCTTCATCCAGCCGGGGAGGCAGAGGCGGGGAGGACAGGCTGGGGCCAGGAGCGCGGGGCTCCCTGGGCGGGAGGGAGGGGGTGCAGGCCCTCAGACACTCGCCTGAAGGCCCAGCAGCGCCCCCGGCTACCAGAGAGGAGGGTGGTGGCGGGGCTGGCCGAGCAGGGGGCTCTCGCTGGTCAGGCTGCCCTGAGCGTGGGTCTCTCGTTGGGAGATTTCAGACGCACGGACTCTGAGCTTCCTGGGGACGTTCTGTAGGACATGGAAGCTTGGAACAGATGGGCAGGTTTGTGGAAAACAGTTCAGGAAGGACAGTGAGTCCAGCCTTGGCTGCGGGGCTGGGAGGCTGGGGGCGCTGAGGCGACCACTGTGGCCCTTGGGCAGCACTTGGGTGATGGCCTGAAGGTCAGTCAGGGTGTTGGGGCTTGAGGGCGTGGGCAGCTGGCATAAACCACCTGCGGCTCTGGGTGGGGCTGAGGAAACATGCAGAACCCCCGCCTCCAGCCTGCCCCCGGGAGCTGGGCCAGCAGCCCCTCCCCGGGGGGTCTCCCGCTGCGCCCGCGCCCGCCCCCGCCTGCAGCTCAGCTAGATCTGCGGCGCCTGTGAGCAGCCTCCCCCACCGGCTCACTCCACTGGTTTCTACAGAAACCTGCATGTTCTCCGAGCGGCTCAGAGCCACGAGGTAGGACGTGTGCTCAGGTTGCTGCTTTGGGAGCTTGGTAGCAGCCGTGTCCTTGGAGCCGAGCTGACCCACCAGCTGAGCCCGAGCACCAGGCGCGGTGCCCGCAGGCAGGAAGCCACCTTGGCAGGTGTTCGCAGCGAAGTGGGGCCGTTATTTACAGGGCGCCGTGCCAGGGAGGGGAGCCCCAGGCCCGCTGAGTTAGCGGTGTTTCTCGGTGATTTACTTGTGCTGGGTCTTCACTGCACCGGGGGCCCTTCTCGTCACAGCAGGCTTCTCCGGCAGTGGCTTCTCCCACTGCGGAGCTCAGGCTCTAGGGTGCTCAGGCTCAGCAGTCGTGGTGCACAGGTTTAGCTGCTCCGCGGCACGTGGGATCTCCCCAGATCAGGGATGGAACCCGTGACTCCCAAAGCGGCAGGCATGTTCTTCAGCACTGAGCCGCCAGGGAAGCCAAGGTTAGTGGCCTTGGAAGGGGAACTGGAGGGGCGGGGGCCAGCCCCGTAAGGCCGGTGCCCTGGGGTCCGGGGCCGCAGCCCACGCGGGCGGGCCGCCCAGGTAGCTGCGGCTCCAGGCATCTGGCTGCGGCTCCTCCCTGACAAGGCGGCCGTGGCCGAGCTGGAGCAGGGCCGGGCGGGGCCGAGAGCTCAACTGTGAACTCACCCCAGCACTCAGTTTCCCCGTGGGCCTCTTCAAAACCGGGGCTGCTACCCACCTCCCCACGCCTCCCTGGCCCGGACGGCGGCCTCTCTCCCCTGGGACCTCAGCCTCCTGTGCCCACTCCTCCCCGCCCCATCTCCATGCTGCAGCCAGAGCCCCCACACCACCTTAGGGTCTGTGTGAAGGGGGGTCCCCACCACCCCACCTGCCGGGCCCCTGGGCAAAGCCGCCACGCACTGTGGGCCCTGGCTGCCGTCCCCACTCCGCCCTCCAGGCCGCTCAACCTCAGCGTCTGCTTTAACTTCTGAATCCTGCTCTGTGAAGACCCCGCGGGTCCCGGCACGGCTGCAGGTACCACAATGGGTGGCTGCTCCACAGTTAATGGTGTGTGGGCAAAGGGGCGAGCAGAGCCCCAGAGAGATGGGGGTCCCCACCCTTGCAGGCGGGCCCGTGTCCATCAGAGGAAGCTTCGCAGGGGTGTCGTCAGGAACTGGTGCCGTGGACGTGGGACCCCCAGACGTCTCAGAGGTTGGTCACAGAGTCGGTGTCCGCGGGAACCGATGGAAACTCGAACTTCCTTTGTCCACAGAACTTGACTGATGGCACCGTGGGTCTCGAGACCAAAAACAGGTTTATTCAGATCCAGGGTCAGTTACAGGTTTGGTTTTTGGTCACAGGCCCCAATGGCCACTGTTCTGAGTTTACATTAAAACACAAAGCCCAACATTTAGTTTGAAAACTTAAAAAGACAGACACCAAAGGCTTTTAAAAATCTGGGTTGGCAAGTGCCCCCCGGTATGTCATCTGCAGGACAAAGGGCGTGGAAGGCTGCGAGGGTCTGTGAACACGTGGCCTTCGTGCACGTGGAATGTGTGACCCTTACCAGACACTGTCCAGGCACCTGCTCTAAGCGAGGACACAAACAGTGCTTCCGACCTCCTCTGGCTGTGGACTGGGCTGGGGGGGAGCAGTGCAGCCCGCCCGCCTGCAAGGACAAGGCGTGCACGCCAGGCCGGCCGGCCCGTGGCCTGGGGCCATCTGCGCTCCCAAGCGCCTCCTCTCCTCAGATGCAGGTGTGCAGCCCGGACTTGGCAGCAAAATTAGCTTTAAAATCCTGAACCAGAGGAGAACCACCATCTAATTTTCTCAGGACTGCCTTTGGAAGCATGATTCTTCTTGGGAGCCCGAGGCTGGGTTCCTGTCCTGGGGTCTCACCGCCCTCCTCCGCGGTCGTTGAGGGCAGAGACTGCGAGCCCTCCAGGGAGGCCTGACTCCTGAGCTTTACATAGTGAAGAGAAAGGCACCTCCCTGCGGGGCCTCCGGCTGAGGCAGGGAGCCCACCGCGCTGCCCTGCCCCTTGAGGAGGCCCGGGCCCCACCCAGCAGGCTTGCGCTGCCTGCCGGGCCGAGGGAAACCTGCCGGAGAAGTACGGAGGTGACTGGGGTGGGGCGGTGGGGCGTGGTGTGGCCGGCGGCGGCGCTCAGAGCTGGTGCAGCTTGCCGCGCTCGGTCAGCAGCGTCATGGCCACGGCGTAGAGGACGTAGGCCAGCACGATGAGCAGGGCGCAGAGCAGGGGCCCCACGCAGAAGAGCGAGGCCACGGAGAAGGCCAGCAGCAGCGACAGCAGCGTCCGGTAGCTGCCCAGGAAGCGCAGGCTGAGCCGCGGCCCTCGAGCCCGGTTGGCGGCGTGGCCCCGCCCCACGGGACTCAGCAAGCGCCGGCCCGACAGCCCGGGCTCCAAGAGGTGGTAGCGGCAAAAGCTGCCCAGGAAGTCGGCCCGCGAGCACAGCGCCACCATCTGGCCTGCGAACTGGAGCGGACGGCAGGCTCAGCGGGCGCGGGGCGGGCTGGCGGGGCCCTCCCCACACTCACCCTGCGGTTGGGGGCTGGTTGGCGGGGGCTGGCGGGAGGCCCTCCCCACACTCACCCTGCGGTTGATGGTGGAAGACAGCTGGAAGAGCGCGCGGACCAGGCTGGCGATCTCATAACTCCGGATGGGCTGCAGCTCCCAGTCGCCCTGGTACTCGATGTCGAAGCGCCGCAGCCCGCTGATGATCTGGGAACAGAACACTGAGCAACGCCGCGCCCTCACCTGGTACACCCCCCCCCCCAACTCGATCGCCGCGGGGGTGGGCGGGGCTGAGGGCAGCGGGTGCGTACCCGGAACACCTGGCACAGGTACTCCAGCGCCTTCTCCAGGTACTCGTCTGTCTTGCGGACGCTGTCCTGCCCCATCTCGTCCAGGTCGTTGCCCGAGTAGGAGCCGTTGGTGTCCGCGGGGTAGAAGCCCAGCCAGGACAGGAAGGGGCGGCCGGCTGCGCTCTCCCCGCACTGGTCCGAGAGGGACTTGGCCGTCTGCTTGGCCTGCGTGATGAGCTGCGCCAGACGCAGGACCTGCGGGCGGGCGGGGGGTCAGGGGGCTCGGCTGCCTCCAGGCGCCCACACGGTGAGTGTTAAGGGCTAAGGCGCACCTTCCAACAGACGCTGAGTTTGGCATCAGCAAACACTAGACTCCCCCAGCCAGACGGAGAGGAGCGTGACCGCCGACCACTCACCAGCGCCCGGACCTCGGGCCCAAACATCGGGGTGTACTTGCAGTCCTGGCCCTCCAGGCTGTACACGTGGCTCTTCACCTTGAAGGAGGCGTCGGTGACGGCCGGCGGCCACGACGACAGGAAGCTGCCGGTGAAGGAGGGTGCCGTGAAGAGCCGGTGCTGCCGCTGCGGGATGCCGAGCTCGGGCTCCAGGAACAGCTGCTCGCCTGGAAGGCAGGACGCCAGCCTGGCTGTGGCCCCGAGGTGCAGGTGGTCCCCCTGGGGGCCCCAGAGCGCTGGTGCCCTCTGATTGGGGCCTCACCCCGCTGGATCATCTCGGCCAGGTTGGGCTGTGCGAAGACCTTGGCCACGCGGAACACCATGAGCGCGTTCTTGGGGCTGACGAGGTCCGTGCGCAGAGCACGGCTCAGGAAGCCCAGGAAGAGCTTGGTGTAGACGAGCAGGTTCTCCTGCACGAAGGGCGCCCTGTGGGGGGTGAGTCAGGGCTCCTCCAGGCTCCGTCTCCCGCACCTCGAGCCGGGTGACGGGAGGGGGCAGCACAGAGGGCTGAGGGCAGGGTCCTCACCGAAGAGGCCCTCCCCCGGGGTGGGGCGGGCACGGTGCAGGGCTGAGGGGCTTTGCCTGAGCGCATGTGGCAGGGGACGGGGGACCCCCGCAAAGACAGTGGGGGAGGGGAGGGCGATCCCCCCTCACAGCAGCCGGGGCGGGCTCACCATCTCTCCGACACACTGCGGGCCTGGCAGTCACTGCCCGGGGCCTGCCTCTCGGGCGCGTACCTCCAGGGCTGCAGGTAGCTCAGCCACATCTCCAGCACCTGGTGAGACGGAGAGGCCAGTGCTGAGGGAGGGGAGGAAGGGGGCCCCTTGGAACAGAACACCTGGCGGGGGTGAGGCTGGGAGCCCACCCAGGTGGGGCTGGTGGAACGACCCCCTCCCTCTCCACGCGCGGGGCACAGGCGGCGGGGCGGCACTCACAGCTCTGAAGGACGCGTCCAGGGGCCAGTGGCCAAAGCAGTGCTGCAGGAAGAGGTACAGCTTCTGCTGGACGAACCTCGGGACGGCGGCCCTGCGGGGGCAGGGGCGTCACCAGAGCCCAGGCCACCCAGCAGGCCTGGGGCAGGGCCTCCTGTGTGCAGCCCCTTCCTCAGAGGACACCCCGGGGGCACAGCACATGGGCCTGACCCACACGTCGCCTGCTCTGCCAGCGCCCGCTGGCCTGGGCATCAGGTCTCGGCCCTCCCCTGCCCGTGTGGGGAGTGGGGGTTGGGGGCGCAGAGCCGAGAGGCTGGGCTCTTCTGCTTTGGTGGGGGGGAAGTGAGACGGGTCTCCCTGCTGCCCCTACCCCCGTGCCAGGAGGGATCGGGGGACCGCCCCCGCCCACGCCCACCTCTTGAACTCCTCCAGGGGGCTGGCAGCGTGCGAGTGGGCGGAAGGCGGGGCCTGCTCCGGCCGCAGGCTGTTGGCGAAGGCATGCAGGTGCTTCAGCAGCAGCCGCACGACCAGCACGTGCTCCTCCGTGGGCATGAAGGACTCCTGGGGGCCAGGCGGGGGCGTCAGGGACACCCCGCAGGCTGCTCCGCCCATGCCCGGGGGCTCCCTGCACTTGGAGCTCCGGCGGAGCTTCCGCCACAAGGACCCCCCACCCCATCCCTCGAGCTGGGCTTCTGGTCCACAAATGTGGAGGGATCTGAGACCTGGCGGCTGCTCCCCCGCCCACCCGCAGCCACGGGCTTGCCCGCAGGGAGCATCGCTGAGAGGCGCGCAAAAGCCCCGGGCCTAAGGCATGGTCCCATGGGCTGCCCTGGCATGGAAACGGCCGCGCAGGCCCCGGCGACCCCCAGGCCGGTACCCCTTCTGCCTTGTCCACCTTTGGGTCTCTACGTGGTGCACTTGCAGCGAACCGGAGGGAAGGCGATGCCGTAACGGGAATGAACATCACAGGGCCCTTCCGTGCTGGCCCTGCTCCAGGAGCCCCGGGGCCTGCCCCCGCGCATCTCAACCCCCAGCGTTCCTGGGCCTGCTCCCACCCTGGGCCGGCACCCACACCCAACCCGCGGGCCACCTCCTCACTGTTCCTCAGGCACACTGCCTTCTTCAGCACCTCCCAGCCTGAGACAGTGCCTGCAGGAGCCTGTCGCTGATGCCCACACCCTCTGCCTTCAAGACCCCCACGGGCTGGCCTCCCACTGTGGATGACCCCACTGCTGCCTGGGAAGGCCCTCCCCCGCCCACGGCGGTCCTTCTGGAACCTTCTCTCCCTCCTCTGTGCAGGAGCCAGGCAGGAATGAAGCGTGACATCTCATCTGTGCTCAAATTCAATTTCAGGACTTCAAGGCCTCACTGAGGGCAACGTGGACAGAGCCCTGACCGTGAGCGAGGCCCAAACTCCCCGGAGGTCACATTGGGGAGCAGCGAACCTCAGGAGCCTGCTGGCCCCACACCCCTATCCCACGGACTGCACTCCATCCCTGGCACTCCTGCCTAAGCAGACTGTAGCCTCCACAAGGTCGCCACCCACGAGCCCTGGGGCCGCCTGTCCTCGGTCAGCCCCAGCACCAGGCCAGCGCTCCAAAGGCCGCACGGCTTCCCCCCGCAAACCGGGGCTGAGTGCGCAGCACAATGGCCCCAGGGCTGGATACCTGGGCTGGCCCAGAGCTGGGCCCGGCAACCCGGTGACCCCAGTACAGCCAGCGGGTCCTGGCATCACTCCCGGCCACCTGGCTGCACCCCGAACCCCAGCAGGAGGGCCTGGCTCTGCTTAGAAGGGGCCTCTGCATCACCCCAGGCGGCCCCAGGCTTCACTGCTGCACAGACGTGAGCTCTGGGGCTTATGCCACGGGGAGGGGGGAGCGGACAGAACGCGCGCGGCCAGTACTTGGTGGGCGTGGAGGGCCTGGAGGCTGGGGTGGGCAGGGCTGTGGAGGGCGCTGCAGACGCTGAGCCGGTAGTGCAGGACCTCCAGCTGGGCAGAAGCCGGCGGGCGGGCGGGGAGGGAGAGAGAGAGACAGTGAGAAGCAGCCCTTGAGCCCCGACACACACCAGCAAGAGCACGTGTCCGGAAGAGCCCGCGCCACGCAGCCGTCCCCCATGCCGGGGCAGAGGCAGGCTCGAGGGTCCCCGGGGCTCCGCGATCCGCCCACCCCCCGCGCCGCAGCAGCTCATGTGTCTGTGGCCCAGGAATGAAACGCAAACGTGAGAAGCCAATTCTAGACCGAGGCCTCTCGCCCAGAGCAATTGACGGGACTTCCTGGGCTGTTTCGGAAGAGAAATTCATCAGCACATAACATGATCAATTCCTGGTCAACTCCCAGGTGTTGTGACACGCGCGGACTGGTTCCCAGAGGGGCTCCAGGTGGCACACGGCCCACCAGGCCGGCCCTGGACTCCCTCATGGAGACCAGCCCCAACCTCGCCAGGACCACAGACAATCTCGTCAGGCCCACGGCCAGGGCCCCCGACAGGCTGGCCATGGCCACACACACCCAGAGGCCTGGATCCTGGCGGGGGCAGCGAGGCTGGCCCACTGTCTGCCCCCGCCCTGGGCCCCTGCCTACCCCCTGCGGCAGTCAGAGCCGCCCGCACATGGCCTGCCCACGTGCTGGGTGCCATGCTTCACCCAGGGACATGCCAGATGCCGGGAGATGGCCCGGCCACGCTCTGAGCAAGGAGCTGGGGAGCCTGGGGACCCCAGGGACCCCGCGGGCCCACAGCCTGCAGGAGCTCCAGAACAGTGACCCCAGGGCCCCCTGCAGCCGGCTTTCCACACAACCTGCCTCCTCATGTGTTGTTTTCCTGCCCCAACAGACGGCAAAGGGCAGGTTTCTGGGTAACTGCCCGGACCTTTGCAGTCACTGGGAGGAGGACAGCCTGCAGGAGCTCCAGAACAGTGACCCCAGGGCCCCCTGTAGCCGGCTTTCCACACAACCTGCCTCCTCATGTGTTGTTTTCCTGCCCCAACAGACGGCAAAGGGCAGGTTTCTGGGTAACTGCCCGGACCTTTGCAGTCACTGGGAGGAGGGCTAGGCCCCCGAGGTGACCGGCGGCCCGGAGCCACGTCTAAAGACTGAGGTGGGCAGGCTCCTGGGCCAGGCCCGCACCGGGCAGAACTGGGTGGGGCGGGGTGGGGCGGGTGGTGTTCGGGAGGCCCAGGGTGGAGCCTGGCCCTGCTCCGCCCTCCCGCACCTGGGGTGTCCTGCAGAGCAAACCCCCGGGACGGCGGAGGGCGTGGGCCCCCAGCCCCAAGGATGCCAGGAGGACGGCGCCTGCAGCAAGGGCGGGGTCTAGGGTGGTGGAGCCCATCCCGACTAGCCCGGGGGCCACAGTGGGGGTCGTGGACCCCAGGCCTCCGCACACATATGAGCGGCCCGGCAAGGGAGGGGGCGGCAGACCCCAGCCGCCCCTGGAGGGCCACCTGTGCACTCGGAGGACAAGCAGCGGGGCCGCCAAGACGGGCGGGGAGCAGCTGGGGTGCCCGGGGAGGGCGGGTGCAAGCCCGGCACACAGCACAAGCCACACGGCGCCTGGGGAGGCGAGCCCACAGCCAGCCCTGAAGCCGAAACGCAGCGCTTGCAGTGGCAGGAGAGGAACGGCAGCAGCCACATACCTTGGCGTGAGGGGACTGCATCTTCTGGTACATCTCCAGAGAGTAATGATGGAGCCACATTTCCACAAACACCTGCAAGAGAGCGTGGGTGGGCCAACAGGTCCCGGCGAGGGCTCCAGACCACTCGGCGACAGAACGAGCAAGCTTTCCCCTGAGGCTGCCGGGAAAACAGGACCCAACTGCACACGGACACAGCCAGAAACTCACTCAACACCGTAAACGAAAAACAACTCACTGTGGATCAAAGACCTAGAACAGGAGGTAAAATGGTAAAGTCAGCACTTCACAACGCTGGACCTGACAATGACTTCCCACGTGTGACTCCAACAGCTCAGGCAACAAACGGAAAAACTGGACAGCACGAAAATTAAAAGCTTTGGTGGGACTTCCTCGGGGCCCTGTGGTTAAGAACCCACCTGCCAATGTGAGGGACAGGCTCAATCCCTGGTCCGGGAAGGTCCCTGAGCCACAGCACTGAGCCCGTGCGCCTAGAGCCGGCTCCCCCGCGAGAGGAGCCACAGCCAGACAACGGCCCCACGGGCACCAGAGAAAACCCGCCAGGCACTGAGGACCCGGCACAGCCAAGTNGTGAGGGACAGGCTCAATCCCTGGTCCGGGAAGGTCCCTGAGCCACAGCACTGAGCCCGTGCGCCTAGAGCCGGCTCCCCCGCGAGAGGAGCCACAGCCAGACAATGGCCCCACGGGCACCAGAGAAAACCCGCCAGGCACTGAGGACCCGGCACAGCCAAGTGAGGAAGACTTTAGTAAACTCTGATTTAAAAAACTATCTTTTGTGCATCAAAAGATACAACACATAGAGTAAAACGGCAGCTCACAGAACAGGGAAAAGACTCGCCGACCATGTTTCTGAGGAAGGATTAACACCCAGCCTACACAGAGATCGCTGAGAACTCAGTCACAACAAAAATGTCAGCTCAAAACCAGGCAAAGGACTCAAGGAGACACTTCTCCAAAGACACACATGTGGCCAACAAGGACGAGAGAGGTGGAACAGGCCGCTCACCACAACTAGAACACCGCAGTCAAAACCCAGGGCACAGCGAGCGTCCCGAGGACACGGAGAAACCGGAGTCCGCGCGCCCCGCCGGGGGTGATAAGAAATGGGTCACCCACCGTGGACAACAGGGCAGCAGGGCCTCAGAAACCCCACAGAGGGCAAGGCTCAGGAGGACAATCCCAGCAGCGAAGACCAGAAGCGGCCCACGTGCCCGTCAGACGGCTGACACACGACACGGGGCCACACGCGCAGGACTGCGCGCGGCTTCAGCGGGCAGGGCGCTCACCCGCCACGCAGACAAGCCCGCGGCACCGCTGAGGGAAGCGCAGTGAGTGAGTCACAGAGGCGCCGCCGACGCCCCCGACAGAGGCACGGGGTGGGGGAGGTCCGTCATGGAACTGAGCGGGACGTGGGGGCAGGGCTGGCGGTGCGTGGAGGGGCTGCTGTCTGATGACAGGCGCTGGGTCTCACGGATGGAAGGTTCTGGAAACTTGTTACAACAGTGCAAACACCCTAACACTACGTGATCATTGCCTTAAAACATTTCAGACTTACGTTCTATGTTATGTGTATTTTACCATGGTTCCAAAAAACCACAGAACCCCATCCCAGCCACACTCCAGATTCTGAACAAGCCGGCTGTGGTGACGCCCACAGCCCTGGAGTCCAGCCGCAGAGCCAGCAGGCTCTCCGGGGCCGGCTCAGGGGACAGGCGCAGGGCTGCCTGCCACCCACACGGGGGCCCCGCGGGGGAGGGACAGGCCTGCTGACCAAGGGGAGGCCCTGTGCCTCAGTGCCCGAGACACGCTGGTGGCCAGGGACGGTGAGCCCAGCCACGGAAATGGAGGGGCCGGAGAGCCATCACGTCACCAGGAGAGAAAGACTAAAGCTCCACGGATGGAGCCCGGGGAAACCCTGCCAGTGACACCGGTGACCGCGGGCAAGGGCCTTCCCGTCTGTAACGCGCCCTCCGCAGGCGCAGCCTCTCCGTCCTGCCCGCAGGGCGGGCAGTGCCCGGCACCGGACCGGCTCCCGCAGACGGGCCCGCACTCACCTGGAGCAGCGTCTCCGACCGCCAGATCTCATGGGAGGCGGGGTCCGCGTTCACCGACGTCTGGTGGGAGACGTGCCGCTTCAAGAGGCTGGTGTGGTGCAAGCCGTAGGAGGCAAAGGGCACGGCCGGTGTCCTGGGGACAGACAGACAGACACAGAGAGTGTCGGGATGGCTGCGGGGCGGGGCGGGCCACCTGGGACGGCAGGGGCAGGTCCAGTCATGCCGCCGTGTGTGAACAAAGGGAGGACGCTGCCTTCAGGGCCGGCCCAAGGAGTGAGGGGGGAAGACCGGAGGAGCGTCAGCTGGCACTGCTTGTCCACAACAGGCTTGGCCGAGGACCGCAAGGGACACAGACGCTGCCCACTAGGTCCCCCAGGTTCGTTACCTGAGACCCAGGCACTTATCCACCTTCCCCGGAAGAGGGCCGCGGCATCCCTCAGCCAGGCCAGCATCTAATCGTGGGGTACACCTGAGGGGCAAGGGCGCGGCACACACCGCCATTGGGGTCGGGACCCTCTGGACGATGGAGAGACAGCCGCGAGCAGGAGGCAGGAGACTGCTAAAGCCCAAGGCGGGTGTGGGGCCGGGCTGGCGGGCCCTACTCTGCAGGAAGGTCGAAGAGACCACAGGTTTCTGAAAACACTCATGAGTTAAGGTGTGACAGCCACGTGTCTGTAACTTGTTCAAACAGCTCAAGAAAACACACACAGATTCGCAGATTAAGACAACTCGGAAATCAGGCGGGTGAAGGGCCTGTGAAAGTTCTGTTACATGTAGCAACTTGTAAACCCTGAAATTATATCTTAGAAGGAGTGAGCCAAATCCGGCCCAGAATCCACCTGGCAGCTGAAGCCTCTCTGGGGCTGTGAATGCCCCCCCAGCCCCCGCTCCACACCCCCCGCCTGTCCTGTCCCATCCTCGGGGGCCCTGCCACGCAAGTGCAGGGTGACCCAGCACGTGCCAGAGGGCGGGGGCTCTGCAGGAGAGAGCCTGCAGCCTCCAGGGAAGGAGGTGGGCTGGCAAGGCCCAGGGCTCTGCCCCAGCGCCCGGCCCCCGCAGCCCAGCGCCCCCGTCCTCCACGGCTGGGGCCGTCGGCCATCCCCAGCTCCAAGTCCCTTGCCAGCTGCTCTTGGCCCAGCCTGGGCTCGGGTGCCCTGTGCGGAGAGGGCGGCCACACGCAGAACACGGCCCAGGCCCTTTCCTGAGGCCAAAGAACCTGCCACTTAAGGGAAGCCCCCACCAGCCCTCCAGCCCGCACCAGGGCAGCTGGGTCGCAGAGCCTCAGGCCGCAGACAAAGCTGAGCGCTCTGCACGCAAGGCACCACCACCGTCCCTGGTGGGCAATGCTCCACCAGGAGGAAGGACCACCGGCACCTGGTGGTGTGCGCGGGCACCTGGGCCCTGGCCGGAAGTCTCACCTGGGAGCCGGCGCAGGGCTGGGCCCCCCTGGGCTGGAGGAGAGGGGTGGCAGCACGCTGCCTTCCGTGGGCAGAAACCAGGCCAGGTACCTGTCCACCAGGATGAAGTAGGCGCAGTCGGAGGTGCGGACGTGGAGGGCCCCAGGGGGCGGCTGGAAGCAGAGCCCCGGGAGCGTGGCTGAGGACCCCGCCCCCGGGGGGCTGACCCCGCCCCCACGGGCTCAGGCCCTGCCCCTGAGGACCCCGCCCCCACGGGCTCAGGCCCTGCCCCTGAGGGTCCCAATCACCCAGGGCGGGGCCCGCCCTGCCCCCGCCCCGCCCCTGCCCAGAAGGCACCCCCTGCAGGAAGCCCCCCAGACCAGCACTCGGGGCGCCCGCCCGTCCCAGCCCGTCACCCTGGCTCAGTGAGGGTGGCCTGAAGGGTGAAGGCTGCGGGCGCAAAGGGGACCAGGAGGCGGCCGGCCCAGCCTAACTGGACAAGAGCCCTGAGGGGCACCCCTGCCCCGCCCCCAGGGGGCTTCAGCCCTCCTTACCTTCTGAGTGATGAGGCTCAACGCAAAGAAGAACATGTAGTACTCGAAGGGGTCTGAAGGCCGCGTCAGGGGACAAACGGCAGGGCGGCCCCCCCCACCCCGCGCTGGCTGCCTCCCCCCCCCCGCGGCCGACAAAGGATACTGAGGGCCAGGTACAGGCCGAGGCCTCCGGCGGGCGGCAGCTGCACCTTGTTGTGGTACAAGGGGCTGTCGGGAAGCGCGCGCTCCTGGATGGACGCCTTCACGGGCCCCTGCAGACACAGGCGTGGCCTGAGGAGGCCGTGGTGGAGCCCAGCCCTGACCCCAGCAGGGGAACTGCGCTGTCCCCTGCCTGTCACGCACTCTCCTGCGTCCCCACCAGGCCCGCTGCAGCAGGGCGCATCTTGGCCCAGCCAGGCATGCGATGGATCCCATCTGTTGTGCTTCTGAGCCCTGTGAGCCAACCTGCATTTAACTCGCCCCACAGAACTGCAGACTCAATAAAAAGCCTCTAGGCACATGCCCTGCCACTCAGCAGGAGGCCACTGGGCCTTCCCACTGGCAGGGTTCAGATCACCTCTGGGAAAGAAGGAGCTGGTGAAGTTCCAATTGGTGATGCCTCCGGGGCCAGACACCAGGGTGCTCTGGCCACTGTGACAACCCTTCAGGCCCCTGTCCGCTGCCAGCACCATGGCCACGAGCCCACCTTCACCGCTGTGGCTTACTTACGGGCAGGTAGGAGACAGGAAAATCAAACTTATAGTCTTCGGCCTGAAGTTTATACACCAGTTTCATCATTGGGCCTCTGAACGCGAACGACAGAAACAGGGAAGTGAGTGGCAAACCAGACAGGACTCCCCGAGAACGTCCGGCCCCGTGTAGGCAAGACGACCTACCCAGGGTCCAGGAACTCCAAGGCGACGCTGTGCTCCACGGGGCTCACGCGGCCCTGCAGGCAGCGCAGGTTCCAGCCGGGCAGGACGCCGTCCAGGCTACCGAAAACGCTCTCGACCAGCCACGGGAACACAGCGTGCAGCTCCTGCAGCGGCGTGGGCGCTCGGAGCAGGCTCTCCAGGGGACCCTGCCCGCCTCCCAGCTGGGCCTGCACCCAGGACCTGCTGCCCCGTCTTGGGCAGCCATGGTGACGTGGCTACTGCATGTCTGGCTCAACACCGCACGGCTGACCTCTGTGCTAGACACGGCATGGGCAGGTGTGGGGAGGGACGCCCGTGTGACAACTATAACCGCTTCCAGACACTGCCAACGGCCCCTGTGGGACCACAGCTGAGAAACCCCAATCTACGTGCTCTCATTTACACGTCACAGACATGAGTTACACCCCGCGTCAGGCTTCCGCAGGCAGCGCTCGGAGGTGGGAGAGGGGCTTATAGACCCTCCTCTGGGAGCATGTGGGACACACCCCCATAGAAAACAGACAGCAAAACCTTACCTTTGCTGGAAAGTCCTCGATGACTTTAACCAAGTCTTGGCAGCGCTGTGCAAAAGGCTTGTTTATAGAGTCGGCTTTCAGGCTGGCCTAGGAGACAGAGCCAACCAGAACAGGGTTGAGCACCCTGCTGGAAGTCAGACCGGAAGTCCAAGTGACAGGCGGGAGTCAGACACAGAAGGCTCGTGTCATCCCGACCAGAGAAAAGAAGGGCCCTATGTGCACAGATAAAGGTCAGCAGGCAAGGCCAGGCTTCGCCCAGGAAATGCAAGGCCCTGGCCATCTCCATGAGGGTGGGGCCCACAGCGTCTCTGTCAGATGCAAGACCCCGCTGTGCAGGCTGGGGCTGGATCTGCTGGCTTTCGGGGGGCACCAAGAGGACCCTCCGCCCAGAGCAACATCCACAGGAAGGTGCAGGCCTGGTGCCCCAGCAGAGCAGGGACCTTCCAGTTTTCACCAATGGCAGTTAAGGTCATTAGAACACCTCGCTTTCGTGTAAGGATTTACGAGACGTGAAGACACAGGTGTCCATTCTCCTCCCTTGCCCCTCCCCCAGCCGGGAAGACCGGGGAACCGACACTTCTATGACCCCTTCTTGTAAATGAGAAAACTGGGGCTCAGTGGCTGCATAAAAAACCAGCACACACCAGCACACACTCGAGCCTGAGGATCCTAACGGGAGTCCACGCTTTCCAGCACAGCACCCCAAAAAGCACACACTGCAGAGCTCTCCAGTCCCAGAGCTCTCCTGTCCCGTGGGCCCTCGGCGGGCAGCGGACACTTACCAGCAGGAAGCTGGGCTGCTGCAGGTGGGGGAACGCCATGGCAGCCTGCCTCGCAGGGTCCGGAGCGACCGTCTTAGGGGACCACTGCAGACAGAGATGGAGTCTCAACAAGGCACCGCAGCACTTCACGAAGCGCAACCCAGGCGCACGTTCTGCAGAAGTGCTGTGCACGTGCAGGCCAGCGGGAGCCTCAGAGCCAGAACCGCGGGGGGAGCCTGTGGTAAAGCGGGGCATGCGCCCCGCGCCAGGCCTAGTTCCAGCAGCTCGCCATCCGCGCCTCACTTACTCCTCAGGGCCAGGCAGGAGGAGGCAGGTGAGCCTCCTCACCGCTCTCTAGAGAAAGGCGGGTGCACCGCCTCTGTCCTACCTGCACCCTCTGAGGAAGGAGCGAGGAGGGACGAGCACACTTCACCAGCAGAGCCTCTGAACAGCCACTAGAAAATCAGGGGCAGCTCTCCAGACTCCCACTCCCTGTGCCTGCGGGGCAGAACCTGAAAACACCCAGAGCGAGCAGAGTCAGAGCCTCTGCGTCCCTTGACGGCTCTCCTGGCACAGCTCTGCCCACAGCCAAGGAACAACGCTGAGGGGGCAGCTGGCAGGCAGACTACGTGGATAGAGAGGCTGGGTGGGCATCTCTGCCCCTGGACATTACGAACACCTTCCTGTGAGACCAAGGGTGCTGGACACCCCCATCCCCAGCAGATGTCCCCCACCCCTGTCTGTAGAAAAGCTGAAGTCTGCCTGGCCCCCCCAGAGCACAAAACAGCCAGAAGAAGCAGCTGATGGTCAGGAAACTCTGATGCACACTCCTGAGTTGTTTATAGATGCTACAACTGCCAGCAAAGGAAGAGAGCCAGCTGCGCAATGACCGGACTGCAGCCGTGACATAAGGCGCTCCACCCACAGCCAGCAGTTCTGAGAACCGGCCTTGAGACAGTGGGACTGCTGCTGCTCTTCTTCATAACCTGTCTCTGTGGCCATCAAAGTAATTGTAGCTTGCTCTGCTCGTATATGTAAACAGACTAAAACTATCAGCAAGAAGATGCTACAGACTCACACCCACATCTTCCACTCAAAGAATACGGTGCCCTATGTCCACAGGAAGAAGTTTCAGAAGACAGGCTTTTGCCCCCAGTCCCACAGAAATGGAGCATTGGCCGGGGGATCCTTCGCCCTTTCCTGTCTGCCAATTTCTGTCTTGCTCAAACCTTGTAGAAATGAGGTGACCTGGTGGCATTTAACCTAACTCCTGACTCAGGGTCTACTGAATGCCCACAAAATCCTGCCTAACTTGTTGATACTTTTCCTAGATTAAAAAAAGGTAGGAATGAAAAAGAATGACCAGCTCTCTGCCCCCAGGATCCCTCCTGGCAATCCTGCAGATTAGCAGGCAAGACAACAGCTGAAAAACGACCACGAGGAGACTGCCAGCCTGCACGAGACGGAAAGTGACGCAGAGCCTGACATCCGGCCGCAATGACTCTGAGATTCTTTCCCCTTATCCCTTTAAAAACTGTCACTGTGGCGCAAAATCTTCAGAGTCGCCTCTGGGATACCGGTCTGGCTGCTCCAGCTTTCTGATTAAAACAACCTTTCTTTTCTCTTGACACTTGCCTTTGGAGTACCCGCTATTGGGCTGTGAATAGTCAAATCTTGGGTCCAGCAACACTGAGTCTGCTCAACTCCTAATTAAACTAAACATTCGCTTCAGTTTTAAGGATGACTTAAAATGCTCCAGTCCTGAACCAAGCGGTCCAGAGAACACCGTGCACTACTCAGAAACGATCAAAGCGGCATAAAACCCTGTACTGCGGGCCAAGGGCAGAGCTTCAGAGATGACGAGGTGAAAGCTGCTCCTTCCTGGGAGAAAGTTGGCAGAGTTAGCGGCTGAGTGAGCCCGAGGCGCCTAACTGCGGAATTTCGGGGAGACGGCAGCGTCCCGGTTCTCCCACCGCGCCGCCTGCTCTGGGCGCCCCCCTCCACTTCACCCCGCCACCTCCACACCCGCTGCCTTCAGGAGTGCCTTCCGACCCGGCTTCGGGGTCTCTCCTGGAACCGCAGCCCTGGCGGCGCCCATCTCGTCGGGGCGTTCCTCCGGCCGCGCAACGAGCAAGCCCTCCCGTCTGCAGCTCGCCACTACCCGGCGACCCTCGGAAGCCGCGGCTCCCCAAGGCCAGCACACCCGTGGCGGGGGTGGGCGTCAGGCCGAGACCCACCCCCGCGCCCCCCACAGCGCTCAGCGCTCGCCGGGGAGTCCCAGGCTGTCGGTCCCCCACCGCGCGCAGGAACGTTAACCCGGCGCCCGCCTGAGCGAGGCTCGTGAGGCGCGCGGGAAGGCGGAGGGAGGGCGCGGCGCGGCACTCGACGCCCCGGTCCGATGCCCGGGCCTCGCGCGGACCCGACATCTGCAGAGGTTTGGGGCGGCCGCCAGGACACTGGTCCCGACGGCGCGCTACTGCCACCACTCACCTGAGGAACCCGCAGCGTCGCCCACTTCAGGGACGGAGGCAGCCATTCGGCGACTCGGCGCTGAAATGTCGTCATCAAGCTGCGCGCGTCGCGTCCCCCGGGCGGACAGGCGGCCTTGCAAAAGCTGGCGCTGCGGCGGAAAAAGGTGCTGAGCGCCGAGGAGATGGAGCTGTTCGAGCTGGCGCAGGCTGCGGGCGGCGCCATGGACCCCGACGTGTTCAAGTGAGCGCCCAGGGGAGTCGGGGTCCCCCGGGGCGGCCGGCCCGGGCGAGGAGAGCTCACTGCCACCGCGTGTGTTCTCGCCAGGATCCTGGTGGACCTGCTGAAGCTGAACGTGGCGCCCCTCGCCGTCTTCCAGATGCTCAAGTCCATGTGCGCTGGGCAGAGGGTGGCGAGCGACTCCCAGGACCCCACGGCCGTGCCCCTGCCCGCGCCCAGCGTGCCTGAGACCCGAGGTCAGAGCCGGGCCGGGGCGGCGGGTGGGCAGCGCCTGGCACTGGGCGCCTTTGGTCCCGAGCGGCCAGGCCTTTCTGTTGTTCTTGTCCCAGAACTCGGTGGGCACATCCGATGGCTGGCCCCTTGGACTCCAGTCCCCAGCTTGGACTTTGCTATCTACCACCCTGGAGGGTGCCCGTCCACATGGGGAGGGTGCAGGGTGGGAGCCCCAAAGCCACCTAGACCTTATTAGGACTCTGCAACCCGTTTCTCCCCAGCTCTGCACTCAGGTCGTTTTCCCACGAAGCTGGCAACAGGCGGCATTGGTTCTTTCCTCCCTGCAGCTGTAGCCTGTACTTAAGTCCTCAGGGAGCAGGGCGGCCAGAGGCTTTCCTGTGCTCGCTTGTTGGCCCCTCACCTGGCCCAGGTCCTGCTGAGTCTGGATAGTGAAGCTTCCCTCTGTGGGCAGCTCTTGGCTGGCAGGGTGCAGAGGGCCTGGGGCGCTGCTCAGTCTGGAGGTCGTGGCTGGGGTGAGCAGGGGCTGGTGACCAGGGTGTCACAGTGGAGCTCTAATCCACTTGGCATGTCCCTTCTCCGTATTCCAGACACACTTGAGACGCAGCTGAATGTTGGGGCCGGCTCCTTGGCTAGAAACATTGAGAAGGGGCTTTCGGGGCAGAGGGCAGCTGGGCCCCTGGATGGGAGCGCCAGGGCCCTGGGCGCCTGCGTCCCTGTCCTGAGAGGCCCCCTCCTGGGCGCTGCGGTGCGGGCCTCCCCACTGATGCTCCCTGTCTGCTCTCTCTGTCTCTCTCTGACCTCCAGAGGCCTCCTTTCTCTCTGTCCGGAGCCGTAGCCCCCCCGCGAGGCCCTCCTTTTCCTGCGCCCCGCAGCCTGCGGCCTCTCCGGTTCTGCTCCACGGCCCAGCTGCCGCGTACTCGCCTCTCTCTCCAGGGCCCCCCGGTTCCCTCCGGTTCTCTTGCTGCCTGTTCTCTCCTTTTGCAGGTTGCGTTTATTGGTTTATTTCTGGGGGTTGGTACTGTTTCCATGGAAACTGCCATGGCCTCCAGAACGAGCGGCTCTGAGCTGCAAGGGCACTGCAGTGCTGTCAGCTCCCGGACTGGCCGTCTGGAGGATCAGCCCCCAGGGTCCCCCCTTGCCTGGTTCCTGAGCTGGGGGTGCGGCCACTCCTGCCCGCGAACGTGCTTCCCTCCAGCAGCACCCGGCCCTGTGCCCGGCGGGGTCACAGGCACGTCCGCGCGGGACCGTCCCCCAGGGGTGTGGGCCAAGGGTAAGGGGCACGTGTGCAGCCCGCCTTGTGCACCGGTGTTCAGTCTGGTCTGCAGCACCAGTCAAGCCCCTGCTGGGTGCTCCCCACGCCCCTGCCGCCCGCCGGTCCTGGCCACCAGACCCCGCCAGCGGGCCCAGCAGGAGGTGGGGCTGCAGTGGTTCCTGCCTGACATTTCTCACCCCTGGTCACACATCCTGTCACTGATACCTGGCCTCAGCAGCTGGCCGACTCCACAAGGGGCGCTCTCACCACCCAGGACAAAGCTCTGGGCTTTTCTGGTTCTAGTTCCCACTCAGCGCCTGGTAGAGCCCGCAGTGGGGGTTAGGTGCTCCCCAGCTTCAGGGGCCCCCAAGTCCCTACTGGCAATGGGCCGCTGTTTGGGGGGTTCGCTTCATTAGGGGAGTAAGCCGGCAGTGATTCATTCAACAAGGATGACATGGTTCACTAGCATCGCCGACTCCACGGACATGAGCTTGAGCAAACCCCGAGACAGTGAAGGACAGGGAAGCCTGGCGGGCTGCAGCCTGCGGGGTCACGACTTAGTGACGACGACGACAAACCGCTGTCTGTCTTGACCCTTAAGAGGGCCCCATGGGAACCAGGCTTTACCCTGGGCTCAGCCTCAATCCTCGTTTAAGTCCGTTCCATCTGACCTAATAGCCACATCAGAGGAAGGTGAACAGGCATGACGAGCTCCGAGCTCCCAAACGTGCCTTGCTGGGTCCAGCGGGCCCAAGGCCTGAGTGGGTCTCCCCACGAGCCCCTAGGCTGTGTGGCTCCTTTAGGTGCCGAGAACCACCCTGAGCTGGATGAAGGGCCTGCTTCCGTCCTGAGGTGGTCTCCCTGACACCTTCCATGACTTAAGAGTGGCATCAGTTTCTTATTTCCGGGTTTATCAGCCTCACCAGATTTAAAGGTGAACGTTACTTTGGCTCTTTTACTTCCCTCTCATCCTTGAGTCTCCGGGGCCCTGGTCCTCCCTGGTGGGGGTCAGGAAGCACGCGTGTGCAGGCCCCGGAAGCAGAGCGGCAGAGTACAGCCTGCGGCAGGGGCCCGCCTCGGGGAGCTGCCCCTGCACCGCGCTTCAGCGGCGCTCAGGCCCCAGGGTGAAGCCGCAAGCTCCCAGGCCTGACTCGGCCTGGCCCAGCCTGGGGAGGGTAGTGTGGCCTCTCCAACTGGATGCCCCTGTGGGGTGGGGACCATGCACTCACTGGACCAGAAGGCTGGCATCTGTCCTGGGGAGAAGGGCAGGGACAGCCCTGTTGGCTCATTTTGGTGGCCCCTGGGCACAGCTGGCCCCGCATCACCCCACCACACACTCCAGTCTGCTCCCGCTCAGCAGTGGGTGACCCGTGGCTGCTCCTTATTCGAATCGAGTTCTCATAGGGAGACCAGCTGTCAGGCTTCCAAGCTGGGGCCACTGCAAACGCCCAACCCTGTGCCAGGTGGCTCAGACGAGCTCTACAGCTGAGCGTGGCTGCCCCGTGGAGCCTCAGGGGAGTCCAGTCTCGGGGCCAGCGGTTCTGGATGTCTGTAGAACAGAGGGGAGAGGGAGACCACCAAGAAGCAGCGCTTCCACGACCAGGTTCAGAAGCCGGCCTGGCGAGAGCCGGTCGCAGGGTCAACTTGCCCAGCTTCCCTACGCTGCCCCCAGGGTTCTGCCTGGCTGCTGACGCCTGTGCTCTGTGTCCTCCAGGGAGAAACAAGGGCGGCGGTGCCCTGGGCGGAGGCACGGCCCTGGCAGAACGCAGCAGCCGGGAAGGACCCAGCCAGAGGATGCCCCGCCAGCCCAGCGCCTCCAGGCTGCCAAAGGGGGGTGGGCCAGGGAGGAGCCCCCCAAGGAGCGGCAGCTGAGCGCCCCCTGGGCAGGCAGCTCCCCCATCTTGTGGCTAATAAACCTCTGAAACGCCAAGGGTCCATTCCAGATGTGTTCTGTCACCCGTCAGCCAAGTTCAGGCACAAGCGTTTAGACTTAACTCTGGGTCTGTCTTCACCACCTGCCTCCTGGGCCTCTTTTGAGCCTGCAAGAACCGTGGTCTTCCTGGGTCTCTTGCACTTTCACCGAGGCCCTCCCCAGCACGCAGGTCCAGCAGTGGTTTGAGCACAGAAGGGCTGTGAGCGACAGCTGTTACCCTCCATGGGTCATGCATGCCACAGAAGCAGGTAAGACCCTTCCTCCCAGGGTCCTGAGCGGCCACATCCTACCCGCAGGTCCACAGAGTGTGGACCCTCTGCAGACCCGAGGTTTCCACACTCCACCTCTAGGCCCTTATGCCTTAGGCCGCCTATCCCAACAGAGAAGCCTGGGAAACGGGATATTCAACTGAAAACCAGCGGGGCGTCCTCCACACTCCTGCAGACAGATGAGCTTGTTCAGGCACAGGTTTACCTGAGAAACTTTAATAGGGAAACACATCTGTGACGGGACACTGGGGGAAACAAGTGTGGGGCTGCGGCCACGCCGCCTTCAGTACTCCTCCCCTTCCTCGGCCTCCGCCTCCACCGAGTCCACGCCCACCTCCTCGTAATCCTTCTCCAGCGCCGCCAGGTCCTCCCGGGCCTCCGAGAACTCCCCCTCCTCCATGCCCTCCCCCACGTACCAGTGCACGAAGGCGCGCTTGGCGTACATGAGGTCGAACTTGTGGTCCAGGCGGGCCCAGGCCTCGGCGATGGCCGTGGTGTTGCTCAGCATGCACACGGCCCGCTGNCAAGATCAAGGCATCCAGCACACTCATTACTAACCTTGCTGTCCCTGAAACCCAGCTGCCCGGGAACAGGGGACCCTCTGCGGCGGGTCAGCACCCTGCCCCGGGGCCGGCCACGGGCAGAAAGCTGCACACGCGCTACCGCCCAGCCTACCTTGAACCCGGTCGGGCACCAGTCCACAAACTGGATGGTGCGCTTGGTCTTGATGGTGGCGATGGCCGCGTTGACGTCTTTGGGGACCACGTCCCCCCGGTACAGCATGCAGCAGGCCATGTACTTGCCGTGGCGAGGGTCACACTTGACCATCTGGTTGGCCGGCTCGAAGCAGGCGTTGGTGATCTCGGCCACGGACAGCTGCTCGTGGTAGGCCTTCTCGGCCGAGATGACCGGGGCGTACGTGGCCAGGGGGAAGTGGATGCGGGGGTAGGGCACCAGGTTGGTCTGGAACTCGGTCAGGTCCACGTTGAGGGCGCCGTCGAAGCGCAGGGAGGCCGTGATGGAGGACACGATCTGCCCGATGAGCCGGTTGAGGTTGGTGTAGGTGGGCCGCTCAATGTCCAGGTTGCGCCGGCAGATGTCGTAGATGGCCTCGTTGTCCACCATGAAGGCGCAGTCCGAGTGCTCCAGGGTCGTGTGCGTGGTCAGGATGGAGTTGTAGGGCTCCACCACGGCTGTGGAGACCTGGGGCGCCGGGTAGATGGCGAACTCCAGCTTGGACTTCTTGCCGTAGTCCACCGAGAGCCTCTCCATGAGCAGCGACGCGAAGCCCGAGCCGGTGCCGCCCCCGAAGCTGTGGAAGATGAGGAAGCCCTGCAGCCCCGTGCACAGGTCCGCCTGCGGGAGGGAGAGGCGTGAGCCGGGCCGCACGTGCCACCCCAGGCTCTCCAGTCCCGGCCGGGAGCCCCCCGGGCCCTTCTCACCAGCTTGCGGATGCGGTCCAGGACCAGGTCGACGATCTCCTTGCCGATGGTGTAGTGGCCGCGGGCGTAGTTGTTGGCCGCGTCTTCCTTCCCGGTGATCAGCTGCTCCGGGTGGAAGAGCTGCCTGTAGGTCCCTGTGCGCACCTCGTCTGCGGGGGGGACAGCAGCCGGGCTTGGAGGACGCCGCCTCACCCCCGCGGCGGCTCCAGGACCTGCCTATCTGCAGGTCCGCGTTGCTCCTCCCAGGCCGGGGGTCAGGTCTCCCAGGCGAGTCTCCGAGACAGACATGCCCATCTGCCATTCACGGCTCCAGGGGGGTCCATCAACCCGGAACAAGCGCCACTGTGGCCGGCTCCCGAAGGACGGGAGTGCCCAGGCGGCTCTGTGTGCGCCTCGCCCACACCCACCGCTCCACCCCAACGTCACTGGGACGGCCCTGCCACCCTGCACCAGCCTGGCTGCCCCAGGCACCCCTGTGGCCTGGGTCTTCCTGGTTCCAGGGTGACTGTCCATTGTCTCCTGGGTGGCCGCTCCCCTCGGAAACTACCTCGCGCTTCTGACCTGTGTGTACCCAGCGAAGGTTCTGCGCTTCCCTTGCCAAGTGGGAGGGGACCTACCGACCACGGTGGGCTCCAGGTCCACGAACACGGCCCTGGGCACGTGCTTGCCGGCCCCGGTCTCGCTGAAGAACGTGTTGAAGGAGTCATCCCCGCCGCCGATGGTCTTGTCGCTGGGCATCTGGCCGTCGGGCTGAATGCCATGCTCCAGGCAGTACAGCTCCCAGCAGGCGTTGCCGATCTGGACGCCCGCCTGCCCCACGTGGATGGAGATGCACTCGCGCTGGAAGCAGAGAAATGAGTGAGGCCCAGCGACTCGGCAGGGGTCCCTGCGTGGCATCAGATGTACCTGACTTCTTAAATTAATTGTTCTAATATCTTTTGGTTTTTTTAAGGTCTTGTCAGACTTTTTCTCACAAGCTCCCAGGTCGATAGGGGCCCAGCACGCTCCTGGAGAAGAGCGGAACCAGCTCCAGAGGAAACAAGAGGCTGAGCCGGAGCAGAGACAGCGCCCTGCTGTGGGCGCGCCTGGCGGGGACGGGGAGTCTGATGCTGTGAGAGCAGCACGGCCAAGGGGCCTGCAGTGTTGTCCACGGATCAAGGTGCATTGCAAGTGGTCGAAGCAGGATTTTCAAGAGTAAACATCGACATTTTAGGAATCAGTAAACTAAAACCAATGGGAATGGTGAGTCTAATTCAGATGACTATTATATCTACTACTGTAGGCAAGAATCCCTTAGAACCAATGAACTAGCCCTCATAGTCAATAAAAGATTCCGAAACGCAGTACTTGGATGCAATCTCAAAAATGACAGAATGATCTCTGTTTGTTTCCAAGGCAAACTATTCAATATCACAGTAATTCCAGTGTATGCCCTAATCACTAATGCCAAAGAAATTGAAGTTGAACTGTTCTATGAAGACCTACAAGACTTTCTAGAACTAACACCCAAAAAAGATGTCGTTTTCATTATAGGGGACTGGAATGCAAAAGGAGGAAGTCATGTTCTGTCTGAGCACCTGCCTATCCGGCATGGAGACACACCTGAACTGTAAACAGGAACACAGTCATTATAAACATCTTCCCAACACTCAATAAAAACAGTAAAAACTTACACAAAACCAGCATCAAGCCATTCTGTTTCCACCCAAGGCTGGATTTACCAACCTGATGTAAGCAACGGCTCAGAAAATCAGACCCTTCTCAGTCATTAGACAACAGGCAGCGCACAACAGTGAGTGGGTCCGCCGAGCAGGGAAGCAAGGCGAGCTTGGCAGAGGCCCCAGCATGTCCAGGCTGCGGCTGAGAGAGGAGGCCCAAGCAAAGCCCCGGGATCGCCCAGGGTTGAGTGGGGGAGTCCTGTGTTGAGAGGCCAAGGCAGCTGGAAAGTCTGGTGCTGGAGGAGAGACAGCTGCGCCGAGGGGGCCCAGGGCAGCAGGGAGGCCCCAGGGCCTCACTGTGGCTGCTCGGCCCAGGGAGGGAGGGGCTGAGCCCACGCCTGCCGCGGCAGGAAGACGTCCTGAGGCAGAGAGCTCCGGCGGGGGGGGGGTCCCTCAGCAGTGGGGCCGAGTGAGGCCGACCCTAAAGACTGCCCTGAACCCACCCGAGAAAGCTTAATAGCAGGACACAGAAGGATCAAACTCTTCCCAGGTATATTAATAGCATCCCAGCAGAAAGCTGAGAAACGGCTAAAAGAAAATCCAAAAAAATCTAACATCCGATAAGGTACAGCTCCTGATGCCTGCTCTCCACTGCTGTAATGCACATGGGTAAGGAGGACCCACCGCTCAGCAGGAACACGCCGCTCAGTGTCCAGCGGCAGCCTGGTGGGCGGGGAGTCTGAGGGTGAGCGAGACAGGCAGGAATGTGGCTGAGTCCCTCCGCTGTCCACCTGAACTAGCACAGTGCTATACGTCTCGGGTATACCCCAAAACATAATAAAAACTTCAAGAAAAAGATCCAGAAATGACAGATGATTAGTAGATTAAGGACAGAATTAGTAGAATTATATGCCTCAGGAAGGTACAGGAAAAATGAGCATGATAAGGAGAAACACATCTGATATATAAAAAAAGGCCCTAAATCAAATTGCCAATTATGAAAGAGTCTGAAATGAAAAACACACTGGATGAGATTAATAACAGATTCCATATATTTTAATAACTATAAATGGAGAGTAACCTTTAAAGACTATATAAAAAAATAAAACAACAAAAAATTCCCACCCGATTATACACTGAGAAGATCTGAAATGATGAAACAGTTCTGGAAATAGTGGTTATACCACAAGTGAATGGACTTAACAGTTAAAATGGTAAAAATGGTTAAAATGGTAACTGCTGTCATGTGTATTTTAAATACACACCAAAAAGAAATACTCAGCAATAAAAAGGAACTGTGCTGCAACAACATGGGTAAATCTCATAAAAATGAGTGAAAGAATCCAAACAACAACAAATTAACTCAATCCAAAAATCATCATATAAAATCCTAGAACACACAGACATGGTTACGCAGGGGAGACAGGGGGTGAGGCTGAAGTGAGATTTACAAAGGGGCACCAGGTAACTTCCCTGGTGGCTCAGAGGGTAAGGAGTCTGCATGCATTTCGGGAGACACAGGTTTGATCCCTGCGTTGGAAAGATCCCCTGGAGGAGGGCATAGCAACCCACTCCAGTATTTTTTGCCTGGAAAATCCCATGGATGGAGGAGCCTGGAGAGCTACAGTCCATGGACATGACCGAGCAACTTCACTTCTTCTTCACTAGGTAACTGGGGGGGATGGATATGTTCATTATCTCGATTGAGCTGATGGTTTCATGGGTGATCAACATGTTAATATTGATATTAAACTTTGTCAAATTACACACTTGCAAATAAAGATCTTGCATGCCAAACTAAAAAAAAAAAAAANTTGAAAGAAATAAAAATGAAAACATGACATACAAACTTTGTGAGCTACACCTAGAACAGCACTCAAAGGGAAATGTGTGTATATGTATGTATTTTGCATCTGTGTGTGTGTGCAGGCATGCACGTGCTCAGTCATGCCCAACTCTGCAACCCCATGGACTGCAGCCCACCAGGCTCCTCTGTCCCTGGGATTCGCCAGGCAAGAACACTGGAGTGGGGTGCCATTTCCTTCTCCAGAGGATCTTCCCAACCCAGGAGTTGAACCCACGTCTTCTGCACCTCCTGCACTGGCAGTCCGATTGTTTACCACTGACCACCTGGGAAGTGTGTGTGTGTGTGTGTGTGTGTGTGTGTGTGTGTGTGTAAAATCAGTGACCTGTAAAATCTGATGGAGAGACTTCCCTGCTGGCCCAGTGGCTAAGACTCCGCCCTGCGAAAGCAGGGGTCCCAGGTTCAATCCCTGGTCAAGGCACTAGATCCCACATGCTGCAACTAAAGATCCCAAGTGCCACAACTAAGACCAGTGCAGTCAAATAAAAAACCCTTTCGGAGCTCAGGGCAGACCACCCCAAAATATGCTGGTGGCATACTAATTACTTCTAATTAAAATTACTTGAGAACCAGACAGTAGAAGAAAGCTCTGAACCCCCTCAGCCCCCCTGAAAGCAGGTAACAAAGCCCCCATAGGGAGGACGGGGGCACTGGGATCGCTGGGGACAGGGGTTTAAGGCTGAGAAAGCTGCATAAGCAAACCTTGTTACTTCTTCATTAACTGGCTACCCCCAGCAAACAACCCCTTTCTTTCTTCCAATCTTCATAAATAACTGGTTCTTTGTCTAAAAAGATATGTAAAGAGCCTGATTTTGTCACTTCTCAGGTCCTGTACTGACAGAACTTCCATATATATAAATTGAAATTTGATTTTCTCATGTTAATCTGTCTTCTGTCAATCTGATCATTAGATCAACGAGAAGAACCCAGAGAGGAAAATTTTTCCTGCCTTACAAAACTCTTCTGGGGCTTCCTAGGTGGCGCTAGTGGTAAAGAACCCGCCTGCCCAATGCAGGAGACACAAGAGACACATTCCATCCCTGGGTTGTAAAGATCCCCCGGAGGAGGGCATGGCAACCCACTCCAGTATTCCTGCCTGGATAATCTCTCATGGACAGAGGAGCCTGGCAGGCTACCGTCTACGGGGTCACACAAAGTCGGACACGTCTGAAGCAACTTAGCATGCACACAAGCTTCTACTTGAATCAACTAGAACAGGAGCAAATATCCAAGTTGTGCAGAGAAAAAAAGCAAGTATAATAAAGAAAAGAAACTGAACAGAAAAGAAGGGGAAAAACCCAGAGAAGAGTCAATGAAACCAACACCTGGTTGGAGCTGAACAATCAAACTGATAAGCCCCTGGCCAAATATATCCAGAAAAAGACAAGAGTAATTACCAGTATCAGGAAGGAAAAAGAGGATTTCACTACTGATAGGGATGAGATGGACAAATTCCTTACACACACCACTAAAGCTCATTCAAAAGAAGAGAATCTGGGGAGTTCTGGCCATCCAGTGGCTAGGACTCCAAGTCTCCACTGCAGGGGGCACAGGTTCACTTCCTGGTTAAGAAACTAGGATCCTGAAAGCAGTGCAGCAAGGTTGAAAAAAAAACAAACAATAGCCTGAGTGAAGAGAAAATGGGCCATCAAAATGGCCACATCATGAGACAGATAATTTTAAACACAGGAATTATTTTCCCATCATACAATCATGATCATACCCCAGATTTTTAAACTCCAAGCTCTTAAGAGTGAAGGTCTGGAAGGCTAGAAATTCAGCTTCTGGTCTTGTCCTTAGTAAGTGAAAGAAAAAGGGCCAAATCCTAGCTGATTTTCTAGTTCTTTCTGATTCCAACCAAACTGCAATGCTGAACCAGAAACACATTACCCTCTGAGGCCAGGCAGGTTCTCCAGAAGGTACTCAATGTTGTGATGAGCCTCTAGGATGCAGAAAATAGGATTTTACAAAAACTGCTGCTCTGTAACTCCCATTAAATTATTCTTGAGACATAAACCCTTCTAACACAAAGGGAAGGTATCTGCAATGGCTGACGCTTTATCAGAGTTCAGTGTAATTTATTTCAGGCTATATTCACACCAACTCATCACCACCTCCCCCTCACCACACGTTTCCAAATTTTGTTGGTTAAACTAAGTACTGTGAACTTGGCATTTCAACTTGCAAAAACCCTGTTACACCAACAAACAATGGCTGAATAGCTCTTCTAAAAGTGTTAACCATTGTGTTTTTCTTATTCAAGACAACACCTTTGCTAAAAATAACAGCTCCTAATGCACAAACTCCTAATCCTGAAGCATCCTTTTACCTGTCAGGTAACAGAGGATACCTTTACTTTATACTTGGAAGAATTCACTGCTCGAAAAAAATGTTTTTGAGCAGCTAGATGTTATGGTGTTCAATAACCAAGAAGAGAAACCTCAAAACCAAGTGTTGCAAAGGGAGATTGCAGAGGGTAGTGTGAGCTATTAATCCAGTTATGAACTTTATTCAGAGTTTGAAAGCTACCACAGGGATGAGAAGAGGAGGGTGACATCAGTGTCAGTTAATCGGGAACAAGGGAGATGTGAGCTGGGCCAGGTGAAGCCCTGTCAGGGATCATTCCAGCCTCTCTCCACATAAGGGTGACTGGCCTAGGACATGCAGTGACAGAGGTGTTGGTTGCCTTCCACCGGTGTGCAAACTAATAATGTCGTTAATAAATTCAACAATTAACTAGAAACCTATGACTTGAGAACACAAATATGAACAAATCAAAGGCAGAAGCCTAACCCTGCTGCGGGAAAACAGGAATTCTCGTGTATGTGTTGGTGATGAAAGGGAATCTGAAATTAGCTCTCATTCACTTCTGGGGTCCCACGTACACCAGTGAGAAACACTGCAGGCACAGATTCCTCCCCGAAACTCCATGCGTTAAAGACTGGAAAACCCCCAAACGTCCAGCGTTTCAAAACAGGCTCAAGACACGCAGCCACCCCTAGAACACTGGGCAATGATAAACTAGGACACAGGTCTTCGCACACTGGCACGAGGGAGCCGGGCTGTTTGAACACTGAAAAACCCAGACGTGAGAAAAAGGGACTGTAAGCACGTCTATTCCTGTTTGCTTGGTTTTGCTTTAAATAAAAAGAACACCTCACAATGCTATCTAATTGAGGGAGCCGCTTCTTTTCAGCACATACGGTCTTCTGTCACTCACTATCTCAAGGCCTCTTTCCGTAACTGCCCTCGTGAGCTCACACACAGACCAATAAGAGCGCTCAGGCACAGACCCCTGGCTTTTGCTTTGAGAAGGACGAGTCTGGAACGGCGAGGCTGGGAGCCATTTATTGCACCTGCGAAGTGAGCCGCGCGCCTGCCCCTGACCCGCATGCTCCAGACACCATCCCGCCACCTGAGCCTGTCTCCCGGCCCCGCCACCCATCCAGTCCTGTTCCCCAGGCCCCTCAACCGGTCCAGGCCCATCACCCGGCCCCGCCGCCCGTCCAGGCCCGTCCCCCCGGCCCCTCAGCCGGTCCAGGCCCATCACCCGGCCCCGCCGCCCGTCCAGGCCCGTCCCCCCGGCCCCTCAGCCAGACCAGGCCCGGCCCCCAGGCCCCGCCGCCTGTCCAGTCCTGTTCCCCAGAGCCTCAGCGGGCCCAGGCCTGCCCCCTAGGCCCCTCCGGCGCCTACCATGGTGGTCACCCCTGGGCCACAAGCCTCTTCAACCTCTTCTCAGTCCGACGCCACGCGCCCAACTGCCGACGCGCTTCCCCGCACTTCGTGTCCTGATTGGCTCGCCGGCCGCAAGATGGCCATTGGCTCCGACCGCTCACTGGGCCAGACCCACCCCGGCCAGGACAGCAATGGTGATTGGCCAGTTCTGGCGGGCGAACTCGCTTTTCATTGGTCCTCACTTTGGGCGGGAAGCGGCGACAGGTCTTGTTCTGGAAGCTGCGCGTTGGCGCCTCCTGGGCCACCGCGGAGGGCAGAGGCGGGCCCGGTGGTTCGTCGGTAAACTGCGGAGCTGCGCGGGGCGCGAGAAGAAGCAGGACTGGTCCCCAGAGGGGGTTTGCGGGCCTGGCAGACCGCGGAAACGGTCTTCAGGTGGCAGTCTGTTGCTGGTGGCACGTGCTGCCGACCACGTGACAGGCTCCCGGACGCGGTGCCGCGAAGCTGGGGAGGGCGCTTCGCCTTCAGGGACGGGACTTACGCGCGGGTCTCCAAGTATTGCGAGTTTCCCAAGGATCAAATCAGGGCATGTGGGTGGGAGGGTGAGGCTAGGCTGGGCAGGGGGACAGGGACGTCGGAAAGTTGCAGTGAAGAAGGGCTGACGGCGGCCAGGCCACTGGGCCTGGGCACCTGTCCGTGCGGGCGGGTATACCAGCTGGCAGCTGAGGCGGGTTAGCTTGGCCATTTTTTACTGGGAGGGTGTGGCAGGAGACCTCACAGGTGGTGATTGCAGGAGGCCAGAGAACTACCCCACCCACAGACCTTGGCCAAAGGACACATGGAATTTCCCAGCTTCCTGGAAGGGGGGCTGGATATCCTCAGTTCACCGCCCTCCCCAAATCCCCCGTTCCTGCTGCTGGTCCGTGGGAGAATCTGTGTTTACCCTACAGAAGAGAAGAACCCTTTCGCTGCTCTTTTAAGCACAGCTGGAATGAGCTGAAATCTTTGAGAAGGCAGGTCCAAAAGGAAGTTAAGTCAAGCGAATATAAGTAAATATAAATTATATATAATAATCTATAGATATAAATCATATACTAAGCCAGGTGTTGCAGTGGCCAAAAATCCACCTGCCAATGCAGGAGACGCAGGAGACCGTTTGATCTCTGGGTGGGGAAGATCCTCTGGAGAAGGAAATGACGACCCACTCCAGTATTCTTGCCTGGGGAATCCCATGGACAGAGGAGCTCCGTGGTCTACAATCCAAAGGGTAGCAAAGAGTCAGACACGACTGAGTGACTGAACACACAAAAAGAAAACAAGGTTAAAAGTATAGATGAGGGACCTCCTTGATGGTCCAGTGGTTAAGAATCCACCTTCCAAAGCAGGGGATCCAAGTTAGATCCCTGGTCAGGGAATTAAGATCCCACAGGCTGCAGGGCAACTGCTGAGCCCCCTTGCCACAACTGAAGCGCCAGCGTGCTACAACAAAGAGCCAGCGTGCTACAACGAAAACCTGGTGACCAAAATTTTTTTTAAAGTAGGTGAAAAATGCAGATTTCTTACCCTGCCTACCACTGCTAGGTCAATAGAGGCTGGAGTAATGTTCACAGTGGCAGATCAAATGATCTGAGTTTGAGCCACACTCATCACCACCATGGATTCAGTGTGACTAATTTCAGCCATTTCTCCCTTGCTTTGAAAGATTTCAGAGACTGTGGCCTGGGGGTTAGAAGGGTGGGGCAGCTAGCCAGAGAAAACCAGAAACCCTCCTCTTCTCAGGGAGGTCCAACAGGATTGGTGCCAGGAACTTGGGCCAGCTGTGGGGAGAGGGGCTGACCAGAAATGAGTGAGAGTGTTCAGCTCTGGTAAGGGCTGGAAAAGGTGCCAGTGCCAACAGCAGGGGACAGAAACAAGAAAGAGGGACTTTTATGATGGGAAACTAAGATTGTGCAAGCCTTGAGGCTCAGCCCAAAAGGAAAAACAAAAAGGAAGAAGGAAGAGCTGGGAAACCAGTTCATGGGGAGGAGTCATGAGGGTCAGTTTGGAGAGATAACATGACACAACACGTTGATGGGCTTTGAAGGGTGGACTCTGGGCTAAATGTGGCCCAGGGGAGAATAGCAGACTCAGGGTGTCCAGCATTAGAAAAAAGAGGACAGAAGCTGCAGCATTCACACAAAAGTGGAGAAAAAGATAGCAATGACCTGGGAAAATGTAAGATTTCTTTGGCCCCAACTCCTTTGTCCCGCTGTTTACCAGAGGAACATCTCTGTTGAGCAGCCAGAGGCTTCATCTGGTTCTCTGGCCACTCAGCCCTTCCTGTCCCTGGTGTTCTTTCTTACGAACAACTTGGGGGTGGGGGGAGAACCAAAAAAGTAAAAAAAAAAAAAAAAANGAACTTTCAGTTTTCATCAGATTTCCAAAGATAAAAACCACTAACTATATTACGGTTTGGATAAAAGAGGGAAAACAGAAATACCTAAGAATCTGCTTGTATGCGCCTAGAGTATCTCTGCCAGGATGACATGAAATGGCAACACTGGTACCTCTGGGGAGAGGGGATGGGGTTGAGGAATCAAAGAGAAGGACATTTCACTTGTGGACTATAAATTATGAAAAATGAAAATGTACTACCTTTTTGAAACTTAAAACTTTATAACATTAAAAAAAAGCTATGGGGGTTCCCTGGTAGTCCAATGCTTAGGACTCTGCAGTTTCACTGCTGAGGGCCCGGGTGCCATCCCAAGTTGGGGAATTTACCTCTCGGCTCACTAGCAGGATGAATCATAACTTTTTTTTTTTTTTTGGCCACACCTCACAGCACACCTAATTCTAGTTTCCCAACCAGGGATTGAACCCACACCCCCTGCACTGGGAGCATGGAGTCTTAGCCACTGGACCACTGCAGAAGTCCCACCACTTACTTGATCCTTATGGACAAGTCATATTCCATTATATGGATATTTCATATTTTACTGACCTGTCATCAGTTGGATGTTTGTACTGCGTCTGCTTTTCGGCACTTCTGAGTAATGCTGCTGTGAAAACTTACCTCCAAGTCTTTGCATGGATGCATGTTCTCATTTCTTGGGTATACACGTAGGAGCAGGATGTCTAAGTGACAGTGAAAGTCGCTCAGTCATGTCCCACTCTTTGTGACCCCATGGACTATACAGTCCGTATAATTCTCCAGGCCAGGATACTGGAGTGGGTAGCCTGTCCCTTCTCCAGAGGATCTTCCCGACCCAGGAATCAAACGGGGGTTGCACGCATTGCAGGCAGATTCTTTACCAACTGAGCTATGTCTGGATGATACAATTGAAGGAGGAAACAGAACAGGCTCCATCTTGAAAGCAGGACTCCATCTTGGGCCAGCCTGTAGACTCTGAGCTATACGCCCAGTATCTATGGAAACGACATACCAACTGGAAAACCAGGCCCCCGGAAGGAAGAGCCCAGGGCTTGTACCTAGACTCTCCACCTAAAAGAGTACCCTGATTATCTGTGTAGAATAGATAGAATAGAATCTGAATAGAATCATAAATTCTGTTTATTGGGGTATGACCACAGGCCCATTGATAATTGTCCACTGTTAACTACTTAGGCTTAAGGCATATGAATCATGAGTTAAGTTTGATTGTATCTTTTCCTTTGTTCAGACTAGTTTCAGGGAATTTGGGGAGGTGGGTTTGGGCATGTACACTTAGAGTATATAAGGTTTTCACAAAAACTGGTCAGGGTCCTTGGCTAAGAGGAGACTCTGCCTTGGGACGGCCGGTGTAATATAATAAACTGCACTCCACTATCTGCATTGTCTTTCTGAATGAGTCTGTTTCCTGGAACGCGTGGCTACAACACAGTAACATCATGTTCAGCATTTTAAGGAATTGCCCAGTGGTTTTCCAAAGCATTTGCACCAACTTACCATTCCCACCAGCAGCACATGCGGGTCCCAGTGACCCCACATGATCTTCAACACTATTATCTGACTTTTGATGACAGCCCTCCTAGGGGTTCCACGCACTGTGGTGTACCTTTCCCTAATAATGAATGATGTTAAGAGTGTTTCCATGTGCTTGTTGGACATCTGTGTACCTTCTTTGAAGAAATGTTTTGGGACTTTCCTGGTGGCCCAGTGGTTAAGATTCAGTGCTCCTGATGCAGGGGGCCCAGGTTGGACCCCTGATCAGGGAACTAGATCCCACAGGCTGCAACTAAGAGTTCACATGCCCCCAAGTAAAGTTCCTGCAAGCCGAAGCACAAATCACTCTGGTCACAACAAAGACCCAGAGCAGGCAAAAAATTTGAAATAAAAAAAGAAGGAAATGTCTACTCAGATTCTTTGCATGTTTTTAAATTGAGTTGTGAAAGTTCTTTAGATATTCTGGATACAATCTCATCGGATATAGGATTTGCAAAACTCTTTCGCATTTTGTGGATTTCTATCTTTTTCACTTTTTGTGGGGGCCGTGCTGCCAACTTGCAGGGTCTTAGTTCTCTGACCAGGGAGTGAGTCCCCACCACACAGTGAAAGCACCAGGTCCTAATGACCTGGCTGCCAAGGAATTCCCTCTCCACTTTCTTGACAATAACATTTATTTATTTATTTATCTTTTAACCTTTTTTTTTTCTTTATTTTTGATGATATCCTGTGAACAAAACAGTTTCCAACTCTGATGAATTTCAACTCATCTGCATTTTTCTTGGGTCGCTTGAACTTCTGGTGTCACATGTGGGAAACTTCATTCATTCACATTCATTCATTCACATCCCTGGAAACTTCACTGGCCCCTTGTTATTGTTGTTCAGTCACCAAGTTTTGTCTGACCCCACGGACTGCAGTGCGCCAGGCCTCCCTGCCCCTTACCAGGCCCTAGAGTGCCCAAGTTCATGTCCACTGAATCGGTGATGCCATCCAACCAGCTCATCCCCTGTCACCCTCTTCTCCTCCCGCCTTCAATCTTTCCCAGCATCACGGTCTTTTCCAATGAGTCAGCTGTTCACATAAGGTGGCCCCTTGGTGGGTGTCTAACCAAAAGATATAACCGAGTCAAAGAGCTAGGGAAGAAAGGCCTGTTACTCGCAGCAAGTGAGGACAGCTCCAAGGTTATCTCCCAGAGCGGTGTCTC